TCCCGCCCCTGTGCCTTATGCAAACACCTCAACACTAGCTAGCAGGCCACATGCGGTCTACAGCCTGTGTTGTGGGAGATGACAAAGGCAGACAGGCTTTTTGGAGCTAATCAACCAGTAGCTTAATATCCTTCCTTGGAAAAACTGTTTAAGAAGAGCTTGAACTAATGGAGAGAGGCTTTATTTTTTTAATGGGCTAATAAACACAGAGTTAGGGGTGATAAACATTCCCTTCTAGGCTGCTTGTGGGAGGGTGGCAAATAATAAGAGCATCCTGCCAGGGCCTGGCCATGCCCCCCTCAGCTCAGAGCTGTGCAAGGGAAGGGAGAGCTGCTCTAGCACCCTGCAGCTTCTAGTCTCAGCCACTGCAAGCACATGCCTAAATTTTTTCAGTCCAGCAGGGATGTCTGTACAGTTACAAACTGGTTTAGCCTAGCCAGGTTAGACTAAACTGCAAAGATTGAATCAATTCAGGCTCAGGGTTTTTCAACGTCTGTCCCAAGCTTAGGGTACATGTTTCCATACAAAAACCACTCTCAAAATTAGCAAACTGTGTTGACAGTCACAGTAGAGACACAATGATTGTCTCACTATTTCAGCATGAAAAAAAAGTCCAGCTTATTTGTTTGGTTCTTAATGCTGGTACTAAACCCTTGTAAATCTAACTTTGAGGTCATTTTAAAAAAGCCTAGACAAATCTGTGAGATGAAAAGGGACACCTCTAATTCTAAGCTAAGGCATATTGGCAGGGCAGTCTACTGCACTCTACCTGACATACCAGAAGAATGTAGCGAGCAGTAGCACCCTCCAGCACAGTCTTTCCTGTTAAAAATTAAAAACAAAAACAACACCATTTAGAATGGATCTTACCTTTCTGTGCCTAAAGAGAGATACAGCTGACTGATGGTTTCCAAAATTTGTCCCTCCAAAACTTTGTCAGACATTTTTCTAGCTAGTGATAATTTATATTCATTGTAGATGACACACTGGGCTCCATCTGGAGCAACTCTACTGTAGAATTGGCACAGCAGCTGAATAGCTTGGAGCTGACCTAGGAAAACAGGTTTGAAATGCTCAAAAAATACATCCTTATTAACAAGGTTAAAAATGCAATCCGATAGAATTCAATTCTACTTATTGTGACCCTGGTTTGCTGAAATAATGCCTTACATAATAAGGATTTTTCAAGCACTGCTTTATACTATAGCAACCCCCCCCCCAAAAAAAAAAAAAAAAAAAAAAAAAATCACACTTCACTACCACATTCCACCCTTTCTCCATCTGAACTAGTTAAAGCATGAGGTCGCCTCTAGCTTTGTCTCCAAAATAAAGCGGGCTAAGTGCACTGTTCTTTTCTGATCCTCCTGCCGACTGGCCAATGAAGTGTCATTTAGATAGACCAGCAATGTAGCTTTTTTAACCATCATTTGATCCACTCATCTGCATCCCTTAACTGAAAAATTACAAAGTCGATGTTCTCTATGTTCACTGCACAGATTCCTTTCTATACCAGTACTGGAGATGAGTATGAGTATGCCCAACCAAATTTTCCCCTTTATTTTATTCTCTAAATGTGTTTACTTTTTGCATTAAGATTCCTTTTTCTACATTATTTCTGACAAATCAAATACTTAAGAGCACTGCATTAACAATACACTTCAAAGAGTGGGAAGGCCTTCATTCTTACCAGCATACATCACCTGATTTAATCTATTCCTAGGCCACTGTAAGTGGACATAGCCACTATAGCTTTAAAACTCGAAGAAACAATTTAAAGTTGCAATGGGTTAGCTTCCCACACAGTAGCAGAGCAAAAGATGAAAATTACATCTGTTCAGTGTAACTAATTGTAAACTAGTCTAATTGTTTTACACCCTTAATGACGACTAGAACAGCACAGCAAAGGAAAAGGGCGATGTTTGCTCTGAGTCATTAATAATGTAATGAAAATAAAGATACGGTAATATCAACAGAATACAAACATTCCCAAATGGCCACAGCACATTTGAAATCAAAAAGGAAAGGAAGTGTACCCACTTTCCAAATTATTTGTTTCCATCGCTACCAAAAAGGCCCATTCATAATAAAATAGTCCTTTTTCCTTATAGGTGCCATTAACATAATAGGATCCCAGTTGGAGGAGGACTTGAATAAAATCTCTGCCACAATCCATGCTTGGAAGCCTTGAGAACAGCTTCATGGCTTTGATGAAGTAGCGCTCTGCCAAATTGGTAGCAGCTGAATCCAGACATAGCATCCCAAAATTGGACAAAACAACAGCTTGGTTATGGGTCATTTTAGTCTCTTTTGAGATTTGTAAAGCTTTGTAGTAGTTCTCAGCTGCTTCTTTTATATTCTCCACTCTTTTCAAAGCAATACCAATCATATTATAAATAACTCCTAACTGTTGCAGACTTCCACAGAAAGAGTCTGCTATAGCATTTAAAATGACCAAAGCATCAGCATTTTGTCTGTGCAGAATATATAACCAAGCAAGTAAAACTAAGTGGTTAATAGTTTCTTCGGCACTGGGTGAAGTATTGGAGTCCAGTACTTTCTCCATACAAACAATGGCCTTCCCATATTGTCTGTGATGCCTGTACAGTTCTGCTAAGCCAAGACAAATTGTGCTATATAGTTTTTGCTGTTCATTGGTAAATACTGAGGCAAGTGTGTGTCTGAGGTAAGGTGCAATTTGTGATGGGAGTGTTTGTCCTGCTTTTCTAAGCTGATACAGCTTGGGTGCATTTTTCATAACCAAATCAATGCTTCTCAAACAACTGATTAGAGTACCTGAGCCCTGGGAAGAAGCAATCCTTACGCAGCTTAGCACAATGTGTGGCAAGTATTTCTGACTGTAGAATTCACCCAGTTTAAAATAGCAGTTGACTGACAAGGAGCTGTTTTGCAAACCCAGCTCATTATTCAATAATTGCAGCCTTTCTAGAAATGGTAGAGCCTCTTCGTACTGTTTAAGTTTTGTGTAATGTTTTACCAAAAGAAAGCATGCTCTAGCCTCTGCATGCTTGCTCCGACTCACTACTGTCCTCTTTAAGGCATTCCTTAAAATATCCGACTCCATGTCAGTGCTGCAAACACAGTTGGGAATCCCCACAAGCAGGGATGCGGCCTTGTCAAAAATGCGAGCGCTTTTTTCTTTGTTCTTCTGCTTCAAGTAAATAGCTGTTAGATTTGTATAAAGAGCGATAACCAGATACAGGTCACCAAAATCTCCTTTCATTGCTCCCATGGCTTCTTCAAAATAAACCCGTGCTTGAGAAAATTTCAGCTTTCTAACACTCAGTCTACCCAAAAGAAAGCATAGCCTCATCAGGGCCCAAGGCATATTTGCTTTTTTTGCTGCCTCTCTTGCCAATCTAAAATAGTCAACTAGTTCATCCTCACCACTATAGCCATAAAATGTGGTGCTCAGAAATGGGAATGAGAAGTCATAGAGATTTTTGAAGTCTCTCACATACTCTTGACTGTTTAAAAACAGTAACAAAGACTGAAGGACCTCAGACTCCAGATCATCTTTATCTTGATGTATGGAGAAACGTGGTTCTTCAGACATGGGAATGGTCTCTTTATTTGAAGACCTATAAAAATCCTTTTCTTGACTCACTGTCCTTTCCAACTGGAGCTGTGAATCTTTACACTTCATCAGGAATTCTTTCACCTTCTTCGTTCTACTGAACTCTGGGCGAGATGAGTGATGTGAAAAGTCTGCAATACAAAAGTCAGTTAAGGATCCAGGTAGATAGATGCAAGCTAAAAACGTATGGGGCAAGAAATTCAACACTTAAGGAAAACACTTATAAAATTTTCCTAAGGAAATGTGAAAAGTTGATAGGTAATATTCTTATTTTTTTTAAGATTAATTGTAATACACAATAAAATTAACACTATTATTATATAATACAATTAATACAATTGATTATTCCATATAGATGATTTAAATGTATGTACTATAATTATGATGAATTATTAATTTTAATATACATACGTGTGTACACACAAATTAAGTTTATAAAAACACTGTCGTTAATAAAATTCATGTAGATGCCCCAATTTGCACCAATTAATTATTTGTTTCTCACTATCCAGGTTCTCCTACCACTACCATTGTTGTGACACCTGAATGCTCCATGGGATTATGAAAGGACAGGAAGATTACTCCCTCCTTTCCCAATTGCTGGAGAGTTCTCCTACAGATCACTGGGAAGAGAAATGCCTCTAAATGTTGTTGATTAGAAATTACTGAGTATCATTAAGAGCTTGTTGGAGATTCCTATGAAGAATTTCAGAATTTCACAGGACTCTGGCCCAATAACAATCCTGCAGGAACATCAAGGATTCTTGGTTTATACCGGGAGAATGTAAGTTTAACAGGACAGGGGCCATGCGGTCTTACACATTCATTCAGTGCCTCACACTGATCCAGGATGGGGCTGCAAACACTAAAATGGAACTTAATATTAAAATGACATCATGCTCAACCAAGAAAACACAATGGAAAAGAATACACCATCAGGAAAATAGTAGATGAGCATGAGACTTTTAGCAGATTTGCAAGCCAATGTAATTTAGAACGGAATATTCCCAAGGTATCAAAAAGGCCACATTCTGCTTTCTTTCTGCTAGAGAAGATCACAGCAATATTGCACAGCATGTGGCTAATATGCAAGTGGAAGGAAAAGTCTGAAACAGAGTATTTAATACCAATAAACCCCAAGAAACAAAAAATACAACAAAGTGCAGGGGGAAGGGAATGATATGGAGTAGAAACAAGTTTTCAAATGTGAAAAGGTGTAGTGAATTGTACAGTTGGGAGCTGGCATGAATGCTGCCATGATAAGACTGAACATGGCAATATAATGAAAAGTAATACAAAACGCTTATTATGTCTTTTACCGTGCTCATAAGGCTTCTGAAATTCCAATTGTTCTAATCCATCTAAAAGACAATAAAAATAATATTAATTACATTGGGTGTTTTGCCCATTTGTTTGATTATAAATATCCTAATGTACACAAAGTATATTATAAACATTAAAAAATATTGGAGTATTTTTAGAAACTTGTAAAAATTAACAAACATTAACTCAATGGTAAATTTCCCTCCACTTCTATGAGGTCTATGTTATCTTATTCATGTTCTTTGCCTCTGCATTATTTATATTCTCTGCATGTGGTACTTATGTGTACCCTTGCCCAAACGTATGCCAGGATATGGCTGTAATCATAAAATTTGGTGCAAGACTCAGAATAGTTTAATTAGCAATAAGTAGCTATTGCATTATGTAGAACCTATATCAATCCACACATACTGTTATGTAACTTTATAAACATTACCCTTAGAATGCAAGATTTCTTTTAAAAAAAAAACAAACATGTTATAGTTCTGGCATATTAAGCTATTATTATTCATTAGTAGTAGTATTCAAATGAGTTTTAGGTGTCACACTTCTAAAAAAATCATTTCAAGAAACAGTAATTTATTGGCAGAAAAAGATGAGTAGTCATATACCAGACCATTCTAGCAACATGTTGGTGGATAACCATGTTAGCATGCATGAAAAATTTCTGTGGAGGTATCCACATTATCTTCATTCTCTACTTCCATTAGGTGTCTCTCTTCTCTTTCTTGCTTACGCATTTTCTAGGTGTCAGATTCAGGAAACAAATTTAAAAGGTTATGTCCGTTTAATAACGCACATCTATAAAATATGGAAGAATCATTGTGTTATATAAAGAGAGGCTACCACGCCTTCTTCAGAGAATTTCTAATCAATTGAAAGTAAGCCTCTTAACTGGTTGTGAGTGCATTCCTTAATGAGTTTGTCAGTTCCAGTAAGATGTGTTTTATTGCACAATCTTCTAACAAGGTTTCTGATGCTTTCTCATTAAAGTACCCATACTTTAATGAAAAGGTTCATTACTCTACATTTGCTAAATGCACAAAAGAAGTGGCAGAACATCTAAAATATAGGATTATGGAATTAAACTCTAACAGACCTAATTTCAGCTTTATTAAGGCCTTTCAGTGCTAATCAATGGTATTATATTGGCATTTGTATTGTTATAAAACCCATACTATTCATTTGCAGGGGGAAGAAGTGGAAGCGGAGTGGGGCAGAGAGCAAGGGAGATGTCTGCCCCCTTCCCGCCCCAGCTGCCTGACCTGTTCCCCCGCTACCTGCCCCTATGCTGCTGCTTTCCTGCCTGCAGCAGTGGAGGGGCACGGGAGGCGGCAGGGGGCACGGGGCACATGAATTCAAGACAACCCTCCAATAAATTAGCTTCTATACCTGGAAAATTAAAACAAATTTATAAGTTTTCCAGCTATAGAACCTAAGTATTCAAGTAAATACAGTATATAGTTAGGTAAGACTGGACAAGCTTTTGGGCACGAAGTGCCATTCCTCAGGTATGGGAAAGAAACAGATTGAACAATGACTTAACTCTTATAGAAGAGGAAGATGGCAGTGAACCAAAGGAGGAAAGTCATCAGAAGCAGCTACAAAACAAGTCAAGGGAAGCTGAAATAGATAACCTAAATTCTGAAAAAACTACAAGATCATTTAAAAGGGAAGAGGGTTGTTGTTACCTGCAGTGTTCAGACAAATCATCAGATGGAAGAGATAATAAGCCATAAGACCACTGTGTGCATTTAGTCTATGTTATTTACACATAATGGAGTTAAACAAAAGTAAATCATTTTATGTCTGATTTAGCTTAGGCTGTATTTACTTCTTTCCCAGATCTGAGGATGTCACTTTGCCTTATCTGCACATCACAGAGCAACTCTCACAAAAGGACTCTTACAGACCCTAGGGAATACACGGCCAGCCTCAACTTCCCCTGTGCAAAATGGAGTTTATTTTCTACCTAGGAGGGCTTTTACAATCTTTGATTTCTCCTCAGCCTGAAGAAGGATGCATGTGCCCAAAAGCTTGCAAAGAAATAATTTTTTTTTTTGCTACTTTTTAGTTGGTCTAATAAAAAGGTATCACCTCTGAACCAAGAGTTTTGTATTTATTTTTCTCAGACCAACACAGCCACAAAATAGATCCCTAAAAGTTTGTCGAACAGTTCTCCCAACTGTAGACCCGGACCAGTAAAATGGTAGTATGGGATCAGGAACAGGGCAAGTGAGGATGTTGCCACACATGCCTTTCACCATGCCACACATGCAGTGAGCTTAGTGAAAGCAGTGATTCCAGGCAGAGCCAGAGCCAAGAGCTCACATGCATGACTGTGCTACCACACTCCCTGTGGATCCACCCTATTACCAGCAAAACCATACTTCTTGCACATTCCCCTGACAAGAGCTATAACACCTCTTTGATGCTAAAATACATTTATGTCATATCACAGTGATGGACATTACCAAGATGTTAGATGTACACCTTGCTGGGGTTGTTTGACCCCAGTAACCTTTCCTGCCATGGCAGAGGGTTGGAC